GGTGGTTGTACCCTACCAGCCAGGTCTCTCCATTTCTGCGCATACTCTTTAAAACCTTCTCCCGATCCTAGCGACATACCCTGGAGTTGGGTACGCGTAGGAGCGAGGTCGGCATTGTACTGATACTGCTTGTAAAAAGCAGTAGCCAACTCCTCCCAGTTACGAACCTTGGTTCCATCCAGCTGATAGAACCATTCGAGATGAGTCCCTGAAAGACTCTCTTGGAAGAAGTGGATCCACAAGTTCTTGTCCATAGTATACAGTTGAATCTTCCGCACATAAGACCTGAGATGCAGTCTGGGACAGGATGCCCCATCGTACTTAGCAAAAGAGGGTGCTTTGAATTTGTGTGGGATCACCACACCGGAAGTTAGACCCAAATCTCTGAAATCCAAACCAGGTACTTGTTGAATTTCCATTGCATTCAGACGGTCTTCCAACTGCTTGTACTTGTCTTCAGCAGGAGGGTATTGCTCATCATTAAAATCTGTCTCATTGTCGGAGACCACTGGGCTGGGAACCCTTTCCTCTTGATGACTGCCTTCCCCAACAGATGGAGTAGTCCTCTCAGTTTCATTCTACAGTGTATTCCCAGATCTGCGCCTAGGGTTGAACAGCACAGTCCTCTTCTTCTTCTTTTTCAAGAGCATGGTCTTCAGATCTTGTTGCCCCTGGGCCAAATTCATGATCAGCTCTTGGAACTGGGCATTCTGAGCCTGGAGGGCCTTGATGGACTGCTTAGTTGATGACTCAGGATTCATGACGATCGGCTGAAATAAACAGCGAAGAAGGTGAGAAACCTGTCAAAAGGGTACCTGCAATGATGTGTATGATATGCATGCAATGTTTTCAAGGACCTCGCAGGGTAAACAAGAAAATAGTTAGCATTAGAAACTGGTGGCTTGATTGAAGGTACTTCATATTGTTGAGAGTCCTTCTTCAAGGGTCAAAAGCTCACCATATCAAGTGGGTCATAGCCCCTGACAACCTTGGCTAGAGGAAAATAAATCCTCTTTGCCCCTTGCTAGATGTTTGATTTATCATGACCTGCATCACAAGCCCTTGAGATCCTTGAAACGGGTTAGGATGTATGCAATGGTATGATGTTATGCTATGCATGGGGTACTATGGGTAAACCCTGTTATGAGTCCTCATTAAGGACTATAAACAAAACCTGCAAGAAACTCAGTACACTCTGTTATGAGTCCCAATTAAGGACTATAAACGAAACCTGCGGGAACTCAAGTAAAACCTGTCATGAGTCCCAATTAAGGACTATAAACAAAACCTGCAAGACTTAGTAACTCTGTTAAGAGTCCCAATTAAGGACTATAAACGAAACCTGCGAGAAACTCAAGTAAAACCTGTCATGAGTCCCAATTAAGGACTATAAACAAATCCTGCAAATAGTTTATGTGTCAGGTAAAGCATGCAAGTAGTCAAGTACGAAGGCACACAAGTCACACAAGAGAAGCCCTTAGAGTTTAGGCCAGCATGAGGTTTGGGTATTACCCTCTTGAAGTTGGTGGGCTCAACCTGTCCTATTAGAAGTAACTGGGTTCTAAGGGTCCCAATATCACGGGATTGCTTTCATTGTTCATCGTTTCGATTTAGCCACTGAACTGGCGACCGAAATATTCCAGGAAAGCAACCCTCAATTGAGTGTAGTATCGAGTATCAACCAACCTCGGACTGCACCAAGGTCAATTATCTCACCACCCTAAAGAGGCCAAGATAGTTCAATTAAGGTTCCTAAGGTCTGTTGATGCTTCATGACACCACGCGGAGGCCCCGTACTCTCCTTGACTGAACTCAAGGGTTACCGGTACACACCAAAGTGCCACATCAACGTAGCAGACTGTTTCAACCATGTCGGTATACCCCGCACAGTTCCCTCACAGTCTTGTTGCTACTTTCTAAGAAGGTATCCCCAGATCCGGGTTAGGATCTATAGAACTCCCAAGACAGTCCCACAATTTAAAGCAAGCAAGTCAATACAATTGAAAACACAGTTTATGAACTAAACCCTAAGGTACACCTCACTTTAAGTTAATCCCCAGCAGAGTCGCCAGTTCTGTGATCGGTGGATCTGGAACTGACTGTTTAACGCTGGTTCGCGAAATGTCGCGGAAGCAAGAGTCGCCACCGTCTTTTATTTTCTCCAAATGGAAAGGACAAAAGCACAGAAAAATTCCTTAAAGATATTGCTCTCGGTTCAGGAGGTAGATTATAGAAAGGGAAGGTGTTAGCACCCTTTCTATCCATGGTTATCCAAAGGCTCTTAGATACTTGCTCATTTGTGTTTTCAAAAATGGTTTGTTTGCTTTTCAACTGTGGGTTTTTAAAAAGTTTCTTTGAAAATTCCAGTTCGACTCTTGTATCGGTCCTCAAGAGTGTTTGAAAAATTGCTTTCGAAAGCTTTTTGAAAAGGTGTCGGTGTGAAAAGTATTTTTGATTTGTTTTTGAAATTAGAGCAAGTATCTAGAGTCGTCTACCTACCCTAAGGAATTCGTCTGTGTAGATGTCCTTAAAGTAGTGCCATCCCACCATTGAGAGGTAGGTAGCACCACCGTTGGAGGTGTTCGGGTCAATTCGAGGTTCGGGACATGGTGATCACCAGAGCAATAGGAAGACACCTTAGAAGCTACCCTCATGCCAGGTTCCCGGATCATGAGGACTTACTAAGACATCCTCTACTCGACGATCACCTTTCGAGGCAAGGCAACAGTGAGGCGTACCCTAGGGGTGGTGTGTGATTTTGTGTGTCATTTTCAGATATTTTGTCTTGTTCATGTCATGGGTGATCTACGCTTTTGTTTTTATTTTAACATTCATTCTTGCATGCAATTATCAGCAGTTAAAAGTTGCGAGAAATATAAAGTTCCTAAACTATTACAAAGGCGCGGGTCCACATCGCCAAAATTAAAATCCAGGACCCGATTTGACAGAAAGTAAATAAAGAAGTAAAGTAAAGTGCGAGAAATTAAGTTTACACGGCTTTGGGAGAATTACATAAATATTTAAAAGAAGGAAATAAATAAAATGCGCGAATTGGAATTAAAATTGGAAGCGAGGGCGTTGGACCCTTTTTAGTGGAATTAAATTAAATGATTAAATTAATTAAGTTAAAAAGAAATTGTTTTTTGAGATTTTTTTGTATTTATGAATCTTTAATAAGAGAATTAAATGAAATTGAGAAATTAACCCTAATTCTAATTTTTTATTTATTAAGAAAAACATGTTAAAATTAAACTTAAAATTAATCTAATTATTTACATGGTGATTTAATTACAAAAATAATATTTAATAATTAATTATTGTGAAAGAAAAGAAAAAGGATAAAAATACTTAAAAAACCCTAATTCTACCAATGTTAAATTTATTAAGAAAAGATATTAAAATTAACCCTAAGTTTAAATCTAATTAATTAGTGAGGTTTATTTACAAAATATTAAAATAAAATATATTTTTTATTTTTATGACCTTTCTGATTTTTTTGTGTTATTTTTATATTTTTATAAATTAATTGAAGAATTTACAAGAAATTAATTAAATCAAATAAAGAATGGAAAATATAAAAGAAATAGCAAACCTTGGAGGGTTTCTGTCCCCAATTGGAGGTATGAATGTAGCATTTTAGGCCCATCTTAGGAGGCCTTCGTTGACTTTTCCTGGAAGCGTGTCACCTCTTTGACTCATGCCCATGGTATTCACCAAATCTAGGCCTTCAGATTGTCTCCATTGACCAAGTGGCAAGCTGGATTTGAGGGACGTATGGTGGACGCTTGCTTGGAAATTACATAGAAGCACCATTAGAAAAATAATATGGAATAGAAAGGGGGGACCTGGGATCGAACCCAGGTCCTGGAGATTACCACCCAACTGCCTTGCCACTGGAGCTCCTAGCGCGTTTTGTATATTATATGTCAAACAATTATTATAAGATAAAACAAATCGTTAGTGATTTTTTCGCGCGAAATTTGAATGAGCCAACCAGGCTTGGCCACCTAGCCTTCTTCTTCATCCCTGCGTTTTCCTGAAGTAAAAAAACAACTGAATAGCGGGGGTTTTAAACCCCCACTAAGTGACAAGTTCAAAAATAGCGATTAGCACCCTGCTAATCATAAATTAATCGCGAGGTGTGTTTTTAAATCGTCCAAGCGTGCTGAGTTGAATGGTCTGGGTCTCACGTTCTAATTTTTCATTAACTGGGAAACCCCAATTCAAAGCTTTGAAAACCCTAAAAGACAACAATGGCAACTTCGCGTATGGTATATGAAAACTCAATCAAACCATATGGTTAGCTTCAGAATCAATTAATTAGTGAGAATCCATAAAAAAATGCAATGAATATGCTTGAATATTAAAACACTAATCTGCATAAAAGTGAAAACAGTTTGACTTGTAACTACCAATTCTCAAGGTTTCAGGCTATGATATTGATCCAGGCACCTTCCTTGATGTCTCAGCAAGACAATGGTATAGTTATTTTGGCTTGAATCGCCCTAGAACCTAGTTTTCAGTTTTGGAATTTTTGTTAAAAAACTCAAACTTTGCTATGGATTTCTGGCGCAGCTGGGAGGTTCTGAGGAGTAGGGTTAGCATGTATATATGTGTATGAGTGATTAGGGTTCAATATTTGGTCCCAAGAATCCTTGAATTGATGGAGAAGATATTTGATTTTCAAGCCATGAGTTTTCAATCTTTTTCATGCTATTTTGGTTCAAATCATGTCCAATTATCAAGATTCTTTCCAAATCTGATTATACACAAAATCTTGAGACTATTTCATGCACAAAAAGATTTAAAAAGTTAGGCTTAGTATTTTCCACATATTTTAATTAATTAAATGAATATTTAGCAATTAAAAATTCAAATAAATAAAATAAAAATGATAAAAACTTCCCTTTGGGCCAAATGGTCGTGCACATGCTTTGGATGATGGATTTTGGAAGAAAAAGAGGCCCATTAGCATTTTTAAGACTTTTGAAGCAATGTTGACTTTTCAAAATATCCAAAAATTTCCCAACTTCCACAAGGCATATCTTGCTCAATTTTTAAGCTTTGCTCATGTTCTTGGACATTTTGGAAAGGCCTTTGAGTCCTCTAACCAATGCCTTTGGTCCCATGTCAGTTTGATTTACCCATCTCAAGTTATGGCCTTTGACTTAAAGTCCCTTTTTGTTGACTTTTGAAAATGACCTATAATGTTGAAATTGATAACTTTTTGTGAGAGAATTTCTTGGACTTGAAGTGTGAAGATGAGTTGTAGGAAATGTCTTTCTCTTCAAAATGAGCTTTGGATGGAATTTTTCTGATAATCCATGTGAAAGTTATGCCTTGGTCAAGTAACAGTTGACTTTTTCAACTGTCCAAATATGGAAACTTTTGCATCTTGAGACTTTTTGAGCCAAGCTTTGAGAATCATGATCAAGCATTGATCAAATGATGTTTGTGGCTTCAAAATGAGATGTTGACCAAAAATTTGAACTTTTGACTGTCAAATGACCATTTTGCCCCTACAGTTGACTGTAGTGCAATTAGGGTTTTTGACTGTGCAATTTTGTGCTGTAAGTCTTGAAACTTGGTATGAGGATACTTGACCATGTTTGTAGGCATGTGGGACTTGATTGGACCCTTGGAAACTTCAATTTCTTTGCCAGAACCAAAACCCTAATTTTTGACTGTTAGGAGGCCCTTGAACTGTGCAACCCTTGGGGAAATTTTGAAGCTTTGACTTGGCAAATCTTGAAGAATAAGGGAGGGCAAATTTTGGGGTACAACACCTACATGGTGGACTTCAAGTGGAGCGCTGCAGGGAAATATGTTAAGCAAAATAATATTGAAGAAGGGAGGGGACCTGGGAATCGAACCCAGGTCCCAAGGCTTGCCAATCAGGTTCCCAACCACCACACCATTCAACGCGTTTGTATGTATCATGAAAAACAAATATTATAAATAATAAGTCACACTAATGATATTTAACACAAAAACGCGCTGAAAATTTAAATGATCCAACCAAGATAGGACACGCAGGCTTCTTCCTCGTTGTGCCTATAAACAGAAAAGAGATAGCGGGGGTTTTAAACCCCCACTAAGTGAAGAACACAAAAAATAGCGATTAGGCCCTGGTTAATCATAAATTAAGCGCGAGGCCTGGTTTCGAATCGTCAGGAAGTCCTGATTCTAATGGCATAGGTCTTGTTGTCTGATTTTTCCAGAAGAGGAAAGCCCCAAATTCAAACCTCTGAAAACCTAGAAAACGTCAATGGCATCTTTTTATACAAGCACTATTAATCCAATTCAGTGGAACCATTAGCTTTAGTGAGTTCATGTTAGTGTAAAACAATCATTAGAATGCATTAATATGGCATGAAAATGTAAATACGAATATGTAAAATATCAAGAACAGGGCGACTTCATTCTACCGATTCTTGAGGTTAGAGGCTGTGGTTTTGATTCAGAAAGCTTCCTTGATGCGTCAGGAATGTAATGGAATCGTTCTTTGGCTTGGAAAAGTGCTCTATGTGTGTTTTCAGTCTACAAATTTTTGACAAAAAATGCAAAGTGATTCTTTGGTTTGAGGCGCATCTTCTAGGTTCTGTGCATTAGGGTTGCAATATGTATATGTATGTGAATGTTTTAGGTCAACAAAACAAGCCCAACATCCAAGTTTTAATGCCTTTGAATTTTTGTGATCTTCCATGATTTTTTCAATCTTTTTCATGTGAAGAACATGCCAATCATTGCCAATCACCTTGATTCTTTCCTTATTGAATAGTGCACGAAATCTTGAGTGAATTTTATGCACAAAAAGATTTGAAAAGCATGGATTAGTATTTTTCTTATAATTAATTTTAATTAAATGAATTAAATAGATTAAATATTCAATTAATTAATTAAAAAAAGGAAAATAACTCCCCTTTGGGTCAATGGGTCGTGCATAGCTTTTGGGTGATGATTCTTGGAAGAAATTGAGGCCCATTAGCAATTTTGAGGTATTTGAAGTAAAGTTGACTTTTCAAAATTCCCAAAAATTTCCCAACTTCCACAAGGCATATCTTGCTCAATTTGTAAGCTTTGATCATGTTCTTGGACATTTTGGAAAGGCCTTGAAATCCTCTAACCAATGCCTTTGGTCCCATATCATTTTGATTTACCAATCTCAAGTTATGGTCTTTGACTTAAAGTGCCTTTTTGTTGACTTTTGAAAATGACCTATAATGTTGAGATTGATAACTTTTTGTGAGAGCATTTCTTGGACTTGAAGTGTGAATATGAGTTGTAGGAAATGTCATTCTCTTTAAAATGAGCTTTGGATGGAATTTTTCTGATAAACCATGTGGAAGTTATGCCTTGGTCAATTTACAGTTGACTTTTTCAACTGTCCAAATATGGAAACTTTTGCATCTTGAGACTTTTTGAGCCATGCTTGTGAAATCATGATCAAGAATTGATCAAATGATGTTTGTGGCTTCAAAATAAGATGTTGACCAAAAATTTGGATTTTTGACTGTCAAATGACCATTTTGCCCCTGCAGTTGACTGTAGGGCAATTAGGGTTTCTGACTGTGCAATTTTGTGATGTGAGTCTTGACACTTGGCCTAAGGATGCTTGACAATGTTTGTAGGCATGTGGGACTTGATTGGACCCTTGGAAACCTCAACTTCTTTGTCAGAACCAAAACCCTAATTTTGACTGTTATGAGGCCCTTGAACTGTGCAACCCTTGGGAGGTTTTTGAAGCATGCTCTCTGCAAATCTTGAAGAATATGGGAGGGAAAATTTTGGGGTACAACAGTTGCCCCTGTTCAATCTTCTTAGACCTGAGGATGCAGATTGGCTGACGTGCCTTTCGTAATCCGAAGGTGGAAGATGATTGAACACTAGAGTGCTCAGAAATTTGCGCTCACATCTTAGCAGTGTGATGGGGGGAATGGGCTTACAGATGCCATTTGGAGATTAGTGGATAGGAAGATGGGCTTATAGATGCCATGCTGAGAGGTGATGGATAGGTGGATGGGCTTATAGATGCCATCTGGGTGTCGATCGCGTAAGAGATTCCTTAGCGAGAACTTGCGTACCTGAAAAAGAAAATGATTACCTGGCCTGTTACAGGAGCTGGTCTTCAAACTCTTTATATAGATGCTCCCTAGTTGGTTACATGAATCGAATCTTCAACCTCTTCTGACGTGCCCTGGCGAGATACCGAAGTCGAGTCTGGAGTTTCAAACGGTGATGAATGAATCAGGGATGGTTACTACCTCAACGGGACGGTGAGAGAACCTTGGGCGATTACTACCTCAACAGTAAGGATAAGAGAATCTGGGGCGATTACTACCTCAACAGTAAGGATAAGAGAATCTGGGGCGATTACTACCTCCACAGTAACGGGGAGAGAATCATAGGCGACTTCAACCTCAACAGTAACGATGAGAAAATCATAGGCGACTTCAACCTCAACAGTAACGATGAGAGAATCTTGGGCGACTTCAACCTCAACAGTAACGATGAGAGAATCTTGGGCGACTTCAACCTCAACAGTAACGATGAGAGAATCATAGGCGACTTCAACCTCAACAGTAACGATGAGAGAATCTTGGGCGACTTTAACCTCAACAGTAACGATGAGAGAATCTTGGGCGACTTCAACCTCAACAGTAACGATGAGAGAATCTTGGGCGAATTCAACCTCAACAGTAACGATGAGAGAATCATAGGCGACTTCAACCTCAACAGTAACGATGAGAGAATCTTGGGCGACTTTAACCTCAACAGTAACGATGAGAGAATCATAGGCGACTTCAACCTCAACAGTAACGATGAGAGAATCTTGGGCGACTTCAACCTCAACAGTAACGATGAGAGAATCTTGGGCGACTTCAACCTCAACAGTAACGATGAGAGAATCATAGGCGACTTCAACCTCAACAGTAACGATGAGAGAATCTTGGGCGACTTCAACCTCAACAGTAACGATGAGAGAATCTTGGGCGACTTCAACCTCAACAGTAACGATGAGAGAATCATAGGCGACTTCAACCTCAACAGTAATGATGAGAGAATCTTGGGCGACTTCAACCTCAACAGTAACGATGAGAGAATCTTGGGCGACTTCAACCTCAACAGTAACGATGAGAGAATCTTAGGCGACTTCAACCTCAACAATAACGATGAGAGAATCATAGGCGACTTCAACCTCAACAGTAACGATGAGAGAATCTTGGATATCTTCTACTGAGTCTTCATTATGAAAATCTTTAGGAATCGATTTAACTGGACTAGAGAAGGCCTTTGACTGGATAAGAATCAGGAAAATCTTAGAATCGATTTAACTGAACCGGACAAGGTCTTGGAATCTTCAACTGGGTAAGAATCAGGGAGATCTTAGGGTCGATCTGACTGAACCAGAGAAGGCCTTTGACTGGATAAGAATCAGGAAAATCTTAGGGTCGATTTAACTGAACCAGGCTAGGTCTTGGAATATCTTCAACTGGATAAGAATCAGGGAGATCTTAGGGTCGATCTGACTGAACCAGAGAAGGCCTTTGACTGGATAAGAATCAGGAAAATCTTAGGGTCGATTTAACTGAACCAGGCTAGGTCTTGGAATATCTTCAACTAGATAAGAATCAGGGAGATCTTAGGGTCGATCTGACTGAACCAGAGAAGGCCTTTGACTGGATAAGAATCAGGAAAATCTTAGGGTCGATTTAACTGAACCGGACAAGGTCTTGGAATCTTCAACTGGATAAGAATCAGGGAGATCTTAGGGTCGATCTGACTGAACCAGAGAAGGCCTTTGACTGGATAAGAATCAGGAAAATCTTAGGGTCGATTTAACTGAGTCGGACAAGGTCTTGGAATCTTCAACTGGATAAGAATCAGGGAGATCTTAGGGTCGATCTGACTGAACCAGAGAAGGCCTTTGACTGGATAAGAATCAGGAAAATCTTAGGGTCGATTTAACTAAACCAGGCTAGGTCTTGGGATATAGCTGAGAACTTAACTGGATCTTTCCTGAAAGGTAAAGGTCAGTCATATGCAATGTATGATATGGATCAAGCAATGATGTTCTCAATATAAATGAGATAGTAAGGTATGATGCGTTTATGCATGTATCATGATGTATGTGATGTTTATGAATGTATGTTTTCGTCTTAGGAAAATAAATCCTTGACGGGTGCCGGGAAGTCACATCCTGGGCTGATGTTGGAGAACAGTGCTTTGTTGTTTCCGCTGGGGATGATAGTTGCAAGAATACCGGTAGGAGAAGATAACTCCGTTGGGGAATAAACTTGGCGAATGGATTACTCTGCGGGGAGAAAATGCTCTAGCTACTTTGCTGGGGAACAGTACTCTGTGGGGAGAGAGGTACGCTGTTGAGATGTTGATGGTAACTCCGCTGGGGATACCGTTGATGTTGGAAGTGTTAACAGACTTCGCTGGGGATAAGAAGACTTCGTCGGGGACGATCTTTCCGTGGCTTTTGGCTGAGGATAACCCAGTTGTATCCTGGTAGGGAAATAACCTTTGAATAAAGCCGGGAGACGCGTTCGTACTCTGTAGGGGATAAGCTTCCAGAATCTACTGGGGATAAGCTTACTGCTGGGGAGATGGATTCAAACTTTCCTGGGGAAATCCTGATTGGACTCTCCTGGGGAAATTTTTGAACTGTAATTTTTTGTAAGCTGAAAGAGGGAACCTATGTAGGGTTGCCTGATGATGAGCTCGTGTAAAACCGCATCTTGGAAAGAAGGACACCTGTGTAGGGTTACTTTGAGGTTGGGCTCGTGTGGAGCTGCATTTGGAGTTGAAGGAAACCTGTGTAGGGCTTGTTGACAATGAGTCCGTATAAAACTGCATCCTTGAAAATATAGGACCTGTGTAGGGTTTCTAGGTGACGGGTCCGTGTAAAACTGCATCTGGAGTTTTGAGAAGGAAACCTGTGTAAGGTTTACTGATGACGAGTCCGTGTAAAACTACATCTGGAAAGAGATAACCTGTGTAGGGTTACTTCGGGATAAGTTCGTGTAAAACTTCTTGATGAACCGGGGTAAGGTTATCTTTGAGGTAAGTCCGTGTAAGACTTCTGGAGGAACCGGGGTAAGGTTACTTCGGGATAAGTTCGTGTGAAACTTCTTGATGAACCGGGGTAAGATTATCTTTGAGGTAAGTCCGTGTAAGACTTCTGGCGGAACCGGTGTAGGGTTGCCTGTTGATGATCGAGTAGATAATTGTCCTGTTTGGTTTCGGATATTAACCCACGATCAATCGTCCACAGAATTTTCTGGCTTGCTACCAGTGTTGATCTGAAGCTGTGAAGGTAGATGGTAATCATCTTTTGATTGACCTTTCTTTGATACTTTGGTTGACAGAGCCACTGGATCGCCTGGACGACTCATTATTGCCCTTGTTTCTGATGTGGGAGAAGAAGATACCTTGTGGAGGTGCTTGATAACTGCCGTTTGACAAATCTTCTTCTTGGTAGGCAAGTGACGAGATGCCGGGACATAGTCGTACGCTTTGATCCCTAACTTTTTCCTGAACTGTTTCTTTTGTGATTACAGTCAGCGGGGTGCCCATTTTTGCCCAAGCCGCCTTTTCAGGTTTTCGACTTGCCGGGTGTACAGATTTTTTCATTTCATCCCTTATTTTTGCCCGAACCCTTTTGGTTCGCCGGGAAGCCCTAATTTTTGCCTAGGTATGTCAACCTAGCGGGTCTTTGATTATGCGTAGTATTTTTTGACTATATCCACGCTCTCAGAATGTAGGGAGTTTCCCCTGTTAGAAGTGTTTTGTCATGTCCCAGAAGATGTTTCCTCAGGCTAGATTCATTGCTGGAGTGCCCCAAGTGGCTTAGGCGGAGATTTGCCCCAGGCTGTTTGGCCTTTGAGAGATTCTCCGAATCTTGATTGGACTGCCCCAGATGATGGACACTGGTCATGCCATGCCCCTTGATTGGAAGTGCTTTTGTTCACTAGGTATTCATCGTGCGAATTTCCCTGCTGTTCAAACAAATAGTCATATGCAAACAAAGTTGTGTCGAAAATGCAAAGCGTATGTCTGTCTTGAAATTTTGAAAATGATTTTTTTAGTAAAACAAGCAAGTTTTGTAAACTGTGATGTCAACTCGTTATTTTATTGCGAGCCTTAAGGAGTCAGGATACCTTTCGTAACAGTATGCTTTCGAACTAACCCATGCTTCAGCTAGGACTTTTAAGGGTTATAACGTGGCCTGGTTCACGGTTCAAGAAACAAAGGATAAAGGCTCAAATTATTTGTACCCACCCGCTCTTCGTGATGTTCTTCAAACCTAAGCTCAGCTGATCGTCCGTTAGACCTTGTTTGAGTCTTTGCTTTGATATTCCGGTGATGGTTCGGATACTGAACGTTTATTTTGGATAGGCAGTCATTTTTGTTTTTGTTGAGGGTTTGTATGACCTCTTTCTTTTTTATTTCACTATCCCTAAATTTTGCCTGAACTGTTTCTTTTGTGATTACAGTCAGCGGGGTGCCCCAGTTTTGTAAGTCTCCTTCATAGGTTTTGACTTATTGGGTTTTTTATTTTTGAGATATAATGACTGCCTATCCTTATGATTATTCGGAATCATCACGGTCTTCTTTTTTTTTGTAAGGACCTCTTTGGTGCCATTTGTTATGCACTTGGATCAACTGAGAGAACTACCCTGCCCCAGGTTATGATAAAGGGTTTTAATTTTCGAAAAGAAAAACTCCTACTTCTTTAGCTCAGAGGGGTTGACGAGGGATTATCATCCTTATAACTCCAGTGTTTAGGAATTGAAACAATGCCTGTACCTCATCAGCGGGGTATGTTCAAAAGCATACTGTAGATTGCGGTATCGTTTTCGTCATCCTCCCTCAAGAGGCTTAGAATTATTAATCGAGCGTTGATCATCAGAAAAAATATGAAAATAATTTGCATATAGTGAATACAAATATATTGCTTCAAAACAGACATATGTGATGCATTAATGAAATAACAACGTTTAACATGAGTAAATGTTTGAACAAAAGAAAACTACAACTTGAAAATCCTAATGAACAAAAGTCTTTTCATCTCAGGGCTTGTTACTTCAACTGGTGAATCCTGTAGGGATGGTAGAAGCACTCAGCCTGGCCATCTTGGGTGAATTCCACAGCTCCTTCATCGATCAGGTCCTGGATCTTATTCTTCAAGGTCCAACAACCATTTGTAGCATGTCCCGGGCTGTTAGAATGATAAGCGCAGCGGGCGTTGGGGTTATACCTTGCCGGTGTCCTGTTGGGATTCTTAGGAAGGTCCCTTAGAGTTACCAAATTCAACCTCAACAGTTGTTGTAAAGCTTGAGGCAGCGACACGTTGAGCTTGGTGAATTGCCTTTTGGGCTTGTCTGCCTGAAGCTGGTGAGGTTGATGCTGAATTTGTGACACTGGAGCCATTTGAGGAGCTCTCCCCTTATCTCCTTGTCTCAAAAATGGTTGAATGATGACTGGCTCTTTACCCTTAGATGTTTGCCCCAGTTGGTTACTCCGAAGCAGTTCGTTGACGAGAACCCCGAGCTCTTCTTGTCTTTGAGCTAAGCCTTGAGTGATAGTCATCTGCCCCAGCATCTGGGCTTTCATTGTATCCATTTCAGCTTGCAGGTGTTTCAGCCGTTCATCCTCAGCACTGTTCCTGACCAAAGTTCCCATGAGAAGTGCTCTCAACTCCTCCTGCCCCTTGGATAGATTCAGGAGGATTTCCCCGAACCGAGTCTCTTGAGCATGGAAGTCCTGGTTGTATTGTTGGGAAGCCATTGCTGAAATAAACAGCGGAGGAGGTAAGTGACCTGTACAGAGGGTACCTGTAATGCAATGATGTGTATGTATGCTTGCAATTTTTTTTTCTTTCAAAGATCTTGCGGGGTAAACAAGAAAATTGTTAGCGTTTGAATTTGTAGCTTGACTGAAGGAACTGCATATTGTTGAGAGTCCTTCTTCAAGGGTCAAGGCTCACCATATCTAGTGGGTCATAGCCCCTGACAGCTTTGTCCAGAGGAAAATAAATCCTCTTTGCCCCTTGCTGGGATAGTTGATTCATCATGACCTGCATCACAGACCCTCGAGATCCTTGAAATGGGTTAGTCCTTATGCAGGATGTATGCAATGGTATGGTGGCATGATGTCATGCTATGCGTGGGATAATGTAGGTAAACCCTGTTATGAGTCCAGATCAAGGACTATAAACAAAACCTGTAAGAAACTCAGTAAACCCTGTTATGAGTCCCAATTAAGGACTATAAACAAAACCTGCAAGAAACCCAGTAAACCCTGTTATGAGTCCCAATTAAAGACTATAAACAAAACCTGCAAGAAACTCAAGTGTCAGATAGCAAGCATGCAAATAGTCAAGTTGGAAGGCACACAAGTCACACAAGAGAAGCCCTTAGAGTTTAGGCCAGCATGGGGTCTAGGTATTACCCTCTTTCAGTTTGTTGGTTAAGACCTGCCCTATCAGAAGTAACCGGGTTCTAGAGGATCCCAATATCACTGACTACCCTCAATCGGTCATAACTCCAGCATCGCAATCTTTTCTTGCGGCCAGAACCATCGCGAGAGTTTAGCCTCAATGGGTGTAGCATACTGCTACTGTTCTAATGGCCAAGTTGGGTCATTTAAGGTTCTAAGGTCGGTTGGTGCTTAATGACTCCTCAGAAGACCCATATTCTCCTTGTTGCAACACAAGGGATATCGGTACAGACCAAGGCGCCACACCAACGTAGCCACTGCTTCACCCATGTCGGTCTACGCCGGACAGGTCCCTCACAGCTTATGCTACCTAAATAGGGTATCCCCAGATCCGGGTTAGGATCTATGTAACTCCGATGCAACCCACAATTTAAAGCAAACAAGTCAAAACAATTGAAAACACAGTTATGAACTATCCTAAGGTACACCTCACTTTATTTCCCCAGCAGAGTCGCCAGTTCTGTGATCGGTGGATCTGAAACTGACTGTTTTAAAGCTGGTTTCGCGAAATGTCGCGGTAAGCAAGAGTCGCCACCGTCTTTTATTTTCTCCAAATGGAAAGGACAAAAGCACAGAAAAATTCCTTATTGAGATTAGTTCTCGGTTCGGGAGGTAGATTTATAGAAAGGGAAGGTGTTAGCACCCTTTCTATCCATGGTTATCCATGGGCTCTTAGATACTTGCTCACTTGTGTTTTCAAAAATGTTTGTTTGCTTTTCAGAGTGGGTTTGAAAAAGTTTCTTTGAAAGTTTCAGATCGACTCTTGTATCAGTCCTCAAGAGTGTTTGAAAAGTTGTTTTTGAAAGCTTTTTGCAAAGTGTCGGTGTGAAAAGGAGTTTTTTTGATTTGTTTTGAATTAGAGCAAGTATCTACGAGTCATCTACCTACCCTAAGGAATTAGTCTGTGTAAATGTCCTTAAGGTAGTGCCATCCCACCATTGAGAGGTAGGTAGCACCACCGTTGGAGGTGTTCGGGTCAATTCGAGTTTAGGGACAGTGTGGTCACCGAGCAACGGTAAGATACCTTAGGAGTTACCCTTATGCCATTGATCTTTTATTCCGAGGCAACTATTCCGAGGCAATCGTTTCGAGGCAACTAGATCAATGGAACATAAGGACTCACTAAGACGCCCTATAGTCGACGACCACGTTTCGAGGGGCAAGGCAACAGTGTGGTCACCAGAGCAATAGTAGGACACCTTAGAAGCTACCCCCATGCCATGTTCATGGACATGAGGACTTACTAAAACGTCCTATACTCGACGACCACGTTTCGAGGGGCAAGGCAACAATGAGGCGTACCCTAGGAGTGGTGTGTGAATTGTGTGTCATTTTCAGTTTTCATTTGTCTTGTCATGCATTGAGTGTTCTACGCTTTGATTTTATTTTTGGCCATTCATTCTTTCATGAAAATTATTAGCAGTTAAAAAGGTGCGGGAAGATAAAAGTCATACGCTATTACAAAGGCGCGGGTCCACATCGCCAAATTAAACCAAGACCCGATTTGAAATAAATAAAATGCGGAAAGTAAATATCCTAATTATCTATTACAAAGATTTGGGGCAATTACATGAAATTTAAAAAAAAAAGGAAATAAAAGTAAATGTGCGAAAAGAAATAAAAATCGAGAATGCGAGGGCGTTGGACCCTTTTAAAGAAATTAAATTGAAATCATAAATTAATTAAATTAAATAAAAGAACTTATTTTTTGGAGTTTTTGTATTTATGGAATTTAATGAGAAAATTAATTATTATAGGAAACCCTAATTCTAAGCATTTTTAATTATTAAAGAAATAAATTCAAGTTTGACCTAATTTACTAATTATTTAATTATAAGTTATTTACAAAAATAGTTAATGGTTAATAATAATTATAATAAGAAAAGAATATTTATTAAAAAAAAGAGGATCAAAATGTACTAAAACCTATTTTTATATTTTTTAATTATTTAAGAAAAAGCATTAAAGTTAAAAGCCTAAAATTAAAACTAAATTGATTAACAAAATTTATTTACAAAAAGAAAACTATTAATAAATTAAATTAAATAAACATATCTTTTGTTTTTGACTTTTCTGATTTTTGTATTTTTGTATTAAAATTAATTTGTGGAATTAAATAAAACAAAAGAAAAGAAATAATTAAAATAAATAATAGAGAAAGAATAAAAGGAAGAAAATACAAACAGGGGGGTTTCTGGCCCAATTATGGAGGTTAATGTGCAGCAATTTGGCCCAAGAAGCATAGAACACGTTTGACTTTTCCATATTGCGTGTGGGATTACTGACTAACATACATGGTGAACTGCGTTATCTGGCCGTTGGATTGGGGCCTCTGGCCACTTGGCAGGAAAGTACGTATGCCTGCATGGTGGACTTCAAGTGGAGCGCTGCAGGGAAATATGTTAAGCAAAATAATATTGAGGAAGGGAGGGGACCTGGGAATCGAACCCAGGTCCCAAGGCTTGCCAATCAGGTTCCCAACCACCACACCATTCAACGCGTTTGTATGTATCATGAAAAACAAATATTATAAATAATAAGTCACGCTAATGATATTTAACACAAAAACGCGCTGAAAATTTAAATGATCCAACCAAGATAGGACACGCAGGCTTCTTCCTCGTTGTGCCTGTAAACAGAAAAGAGATAGCGGGGGTTTTAAACCCCCTGTTTCCAGTGATTTCTGGTAAACAACCGCTAGTCTTCCAAACTATCGAATAATCTTTCTGACTGTTATTCAATTCCTCTGGTAACTCACAGGATCGACTAGATTGATCCTAGGACTCCTTGGATATTAAGGTTACTCTCACGATCGAACAGATATTCATGGTTGATATTGTATATGTGTTTGGCTTATTTCGATTTCTCTCTCTAAAAGTCTAAAGATGTAATCAAAATGTGTGTGTGAAAACTAAGTTACATGAATAAATGCTAATTGTAAAGACATGTAAAATTGCATAAAAGTGAAGTAAATGGTTTCGACTTACAAAACAGTTAATATAAAGGATTTCTGGAACGTAAAAGGTTTGAAATATGAAGAAAGCGTTTAATGCAAGAAATCTTTAAATGACTTTAAGTAAAAATATGCGTTCGAAGGATAAGACTTGAAGGTAAAGGTATGGAAAATATGACAGTTTTCTGAGATATAAAGTGCTTGAAATACGAAGAAAACATTAAAATGTAAAACTTTGAAGAAGAGATTTCGAAGTGAAAAGACTGTAAATGAGAAAACTTGTAAATGTTATTTGACAAAAGGATAAAGGAAAGTGCTGGAAATGGTAAAAGGTTTTCATTAAATCAGAAATACATGGTGCTATCATACATACATTTCTCTTGCATTCGTTTCCCTTGCCATGTGGTAGTTTGAATGTTACTGAGTATTTTGTATAATATATATGACACCCCAAAACCTAATACTAAGACTTCTATTTATACTAATTCGACCATAACGGTCTTGCTATAGGATTATGCCACGTTTAGAACATGCAGGACAATGCCTCTTTCGTCTTTCCACGTGTCCCCAAATGCTCCAGCACATAACTTTCAAACCTCGAAAGTCCCGCTTCCATT